TGGTTCACTCTGTCGGGCTAAAATTTTTCATTTTAATAAGAATATTATTTACATTTCTAAGTCTAGCATTATTTCATTCTTTGAATATTTTAAAATATATCTAACATAACTGATGTATTTTTTTGATTTATAAAATACAAAAAGAAGAATCTGCAATGTTATTGGTCCTAGACCTGGCATCTTGACTCAATATTTTTTTGACCGAAATGTTTTCCCTGTGTCTTTTTCTAAAAATATATTCATGATAATTTTCCTGAAGACCTTTTTCTTCATTTGGGTTTAATTTTAATTTGTTATTTATATTCACACCTCTAAAGACAAATTGTCATTTACGTGGTCTAGTTGGGACTTCATTGAGACTATGAATTGGTATTATGGTGTTCAAAAAAAATGGCAATATCTTTTTCGCTATCCTCTGTCTATGGGCTAAATACCAGGTCTTTCAGTAATTGTTTTCCAGCCAGTGTAGCAATTCAAACAAAAATCGTGGAGAAGGCCAAGGGAAACTACTCTCCTATATTTCCCGGGAATCTTTTTTGCCTTCCATCTATATGGCTGATGTTTATTCCAGGAAATGACATTTTATTATTATTTCAGATAACTAACGTTTTCCGTTGCTTTGAAAAAAAAAATTATATTGAATCAGCTGCTACATCTGCTGCTAGGAATGTTGGTTCACTGTTAAATGACAATTTTTTCCAACCAGAATCTGATATCTTACGTAAATATAAAATACAAAATTCCTGATGACATCAGTTCTCTTTGCTGATGTCACAGCTATTTGTTCTTGTCTCGCTGAGGTCAAATTATCAGCTGATCTAAAAAAAAAAAAAAATGAGCTACAGTCTGTTGTTAACCGGAGCAAGGAATAACTTGTCAATTTTAACGTCTCCAAAACGAAAACTCTTTATTTATCCTCTGAAAGATCCTTTCCTTCTTCCTATGAAGTGGAAAGATTAGATTGAATCAATTGCTAAGTCTGCTTTTAGGAAATTTTGGTTCATTGTATGATATATTATTAAATTTTTCGAACCAGAATAGAATTTTACATGCTTATAAGTCTACCATTCATCTATACTTTGAATATATACATTTATATTAATCTCTTTTAATAGTAAATTCGCAGCTGGTTTAAAAAATGATCTTACAATATTTATCCTTTAAAGGTTCCTTTTTCAGAAGTATTTTATGCTTTCCACTGACAAAGTGTAACGATTAGATTGAATCAATTGCTAGGTTTGTTAGGAAAGTTGTATCATTGTGTCGTGCTAGATAATTTTCCTTTCCAGAATCTATCTTATACATCTATATGTTTACTATCCTTCCTGATGACATCAGTTCTCTATGCTGATAACACAGCCATTTAATCCTGTCTCGATAGTAAATCTAATTAGTTCGCTGAGGTCAAATTAGCAGCTGATCTAAAAAAATGATCTACAGTCTGTTGTTAACAGGAGCAAGGAATAGCTTGTCAATTTTAACGTCTCCAAAAGCAAACTTTATCTATCCCCTGAAAGATCCCATCTTTCTTCCCATGAAGTGGAAAGATTAGATTGAATCAATTGCTAGGCCTACTGCTAGGAAAGTTGGCTCACTGTATCGGGCTAGACAATTTTTCTCGCCAGAATCTATCTTATACATTTTTAAGGGAACCATTCAACCACGAACCAAATATTGCCGTCACACATGGTCTGGTGCTTCTGCTATGTGTTTAGGGATTTTTGATAAAACCCGAAGAAAAATCTGCAATGCTTTTGGTCCTGACCTGGCATCACGGCTTCCGTCACTTTCACAACGCCGTAACGTAGCTTGCTTGTACCTTTTCCATGAATACTTTCATGGTAATTATTCTGATAAGATTAACTCTTTGGTACCTAGACTCTTTAAGCACATTCTTGGGAAAGGTATGAATCCAATTCTTCTCCTCCAGATATGAGTTGAATAACAGGGAAGACTGGGTTTTATAACCTTGTTTGGCAATATTCTATCACAGAAAATAATAGCAAACTGCTGCGAGAAAATCTTTTGCCTGTTTAGTCATGAATCGAAAGATCGTTCAAGCGTGTATCACGTGTGGTACTGAATAACTAGATCAGCGAGAAGGTTTCATCATCTTACAATTAAAATAGCTAGATGAAACCGCAAGTTCTATGCAAATAGTTTCTCGCACTTCTCGCTTGTGAAGCTCTCTTCAGACTCTTTGCTTACCAGTCAGCTTTGCAATGTAAATCGTTATCTTCTGAATTAATTTTATTTTATTGTTCTTCAATAGGGGTGGGGATTGATTTGGCTAAACTAAGTTTTGTTTAAGGTTTGCAATGAGATCTTTGAATTTAACTAGATATCAGCACTCCTCCACTAAAGTTACCTCTGCAGTGTGATTCCATAACACCGGAATTCATGTGAGGAAATTTTGTTCCAGGAGAGAATAATTTTCATTCCAAGAAAGGAAATAAAGCCCCTAAGACGCAAGGCAGTACCAAGAATGAAGAAAACTGAGAAAACGTTGCTGAGGAGAAAGGGCCATAAAAAGGAAATAGATGACGATTGACGCTGAATTTAAATTTCTGAAGTTCGTGGGGGGGGTAACAGGAAAACAAGACGCTGCCGGTGACTACCCCAAGCGAGAAGTTGCGAGAGAAGAAAATGTTAGAATCAAAGTTTGATCCCAAACAGAGAGTAGCGTTGGGCTTATTCCCGACCACCGAACGCAGAAGTACGTGACCTCATACCGGTATCCGTTATTACAAGCAAAAGAACGAGTATGTTGAACAGGTCATGGTCTAATAGACTACCTTTGTCTGGTAATGCCGAATCCTCTGTGCTAGTGAAAGGAACGAACAAGCGTCACAAAAGTGAATAAGCCTAATGGATAGTAAATGACACGAGTTATCTCCCCTAAGCATGGGTAGTATAATGAGAACAAGCTATGACTATGGACTGAATAAACGGATCGGAGAATCAACGCTTCAATCCCATAAGTCAAATGTCTAGTGGAAAATCTAGTGTTGAAATCTTGGAGCTCAGGTTGAGAGAACTGTATAAATGTTTTGGGCTATTTCTTTTTTTTTTTTTTTTTTTTTTACATCTTTTTTTCTTTTTAATCAAAGGCTGTCACTGGGCACGTGACCGAGTCGTTAAAACGTTCGAATTCTGACAATAAGACTGTAAAGTTACTCCGGACACATATTTGAGCTGATACAGTCTTTGCTGTCAAATTGAAACGCAGTACTAGACTGGCGATAAGATTTCATCAATTTACAGTTGAGCTGATCAGATAGAGCAGTAACTTCTATCCTAACAATTTCTTTTCTCGCACTTCCCGCTTGTGGAACTCCATTCCGGCACCATAATTTCCAGCCAACTATCATCTACAAAAATTTAAATGCAATCTATCCACTAGTGATTTTCCAAGCGTAGCTTAGATGTGGCACAAGGCCGAAAGTATGGGGCACCCAGTGAGGATCGAACTCACAACTCAGTCGTAATTGTTTTAGCCAGACAAGCTTGCTAACCATTACATCACCTTGAGGTGCCCATGCATTCTATCCACTATCTTCCTAATTCCTCTGTTCTCTTTCTGCTCCACATTAATATTTCTTTTCGCTTAAGTCTGAATGTTCATATTTAGATTTCGGCATTAAATGACGCATAGAGGTGTTGATATGCCGGTAAAATGAAACAACCAAAGCAAAGAAATCGGTTTATACCAAAACATGTAACAGCTACAGTGTGTAATCTACTAACTATATATCTATAAAATATACGTTTACTCGAAAGTATAAAATGACGTACAAAGTATATGTAATTGAAGCTATAAAATTGCTTTCGAAATATTTAGATTTCAGCATTAAATAACCCATAGCGGTGTTGATATGCCGCTAAATAAAATCAAACAAACAAACCAATGAAAATATTTAGATTTCGGCATTAAATAACCCACAGAGGTGTTGATATACCGCTAAATAAAGAAAACAACCAAAATAAATCAAAATATTTAGATATTGGCATTAAATAACGCATAGAGGTTTTGATATACCGCTAAATAAAAACAACAACCAAAATAAATTAAAATATTTAGATTTTGGCATTAAATAACCCATAGAGGTGTTGATACGCCACTAAACGAAATCAACCAAACCAATCAAAGTATTTAGATTTTGGCATTAAATGACCCATAGAGGTGTTGATACGCCACTAAACAAAATCAACCAAATCAATCAAAATATTTAGATTTTGACATTAAATAACCCATAGAGGTGTTGATATGCCACTAAACAAAATCAACCAAACCAATCAAAATATTTAGATTTTGGCATTAAATAACCCATGGAGGTGTTGATATGCCACTAAACAAAATCAACCAAACCAATCAAAATATTTAGATTTTGTCATTAACTAACCTATAGAGGTGTTGATATGCCACGAAACAAAATCAACCAAACCAATCAAAATATTTAGATTTTGGCATTACATGACCCATAGAGGTGTTGATATATCGCTAAACAAAATCAACCAAACAAACCAATCAAAATATTTAGTTTTTGCATTAAATAACCCATAGAGGTGTTGACATGCCGCTAATCGACCAAAGTAAATCAATCCCTGAATTTCGTGATACTCAAAACGCTGTTTCAAGTGATAAAAACTGAATGTAAGTTGTTGATATAAAATATCCCCTAAACACGGAATGAGAAGAAACTCCCTGAATTTAGTGATGGTTTGATTGATTCGTTTTTTACGACTTATCAACCCTTTGCATATTATTGAAAACAACTAGAAAATATTTTTAGATTAAAATATTATAAGATTTATTTTTTTACATAATAATGATTTAGGAATACAAGTTGTATTAATTAATCCATATCTATGGGACAAGTGGTGGATTCATGCCTTTTCCAATGTTATATGGGCGTAAGTGAATATAACAACCACGATGAGAGTTAGATCCTGACACTCCAATTAACAATTCCGAGGCCTTATCCATCCACACATCCAAGCTTACAGCACTTGGTATCCCCAAACGGTTACCCATCTAAGTACCGACCAGGATCGGCGTTGCTTAGCTTCGGTGATCGTCCGGGAACAGGGGTTTCAACGTGATGTAGCCGTAATCGACACCACCACACATCCAAGCCCCTGTTAGCACCTGCTGTCAAGGCATCTAGGTACTAACCAGGTTCAACGTTGCTTAACTTTGGTGATCGTGCGAAAACCGCTCTTTCAAAGGGATTTGGCCATAATCCACACCACCCGCATATCCACGCTTACAGCACCTGGTATTCCCAAGCAGTCACCCATCTATCTACTGACCAGGGTGAACGTTGCTTAACTTCGGTGAATTTGCGGGAACAGGTGTTTCAACATGATGTGGCCGTAAGCCTTAATTTAGTGAAATTTACGAGAATGTTACCAAAATAGGGAGGGAGACACCGGAAGGAGGCCAGGGAGTACAACGGTCGAAACATCATACTTATTATAAAACCCAGGTTGTGTGTGTGTGTGTGTGTGTCTGTACGTTTATATATTGGATTGGATTTCCTACATTTTTCAACCGATTTCAACAAAACTTCACAGGACTACGTAAAATTACCTTGCGGTGCCAAAAATTGGAAAAACACAATTGTTTTTGCACGAAATCAATTTGAAAACACGATTAAGAGACATCGCTGTCGCGAGAATGAAAAGGGAACAACTCATATCGAGTTATACTTATTATAAAACCCAGGTTGTTTGTTTTGTGTGTGTGTGTGTGTGTGTGTGTGTGTGTGTGTGTGTGTGTGTGTGTGTGTGTGTGTGTTCGTTTATATATGGGATCGGATTTCCTACATTTTTCAACCGATTTCAACAAAACTTCATTTTTTTTTGGCAAGTAGTGTTTCTTATTGTCTTGCACACTTTTTTCTTTATTTTTACATTCAGAATGCTTTAAAAATTCCATTTACAAGACAATTGTTTATAATAAAATTCTATTCAATCGGTAGACTCATAACAATGTTTTTGTTTGAGTTTTGGTTTGACCAATTCGTAAAAAACAAAAAAACTAATTAAGACATGCGTGTCCGTCAACCTTAAACAATAATCTTTGTCAATTTTATTTTTCAGTCTTTATGATGATCGATACTTGATCTATCTCTTACTGTTACATCCCCGGGCAACGCCGGGCTCTACTGCTAGTAGTGAATATAACAAGGATGCTGTTTCAAATAGCAAAAAATTTAATAATGTTTCTATTTTATTGCTGGTCAACACGTGATTTTCTGTTTTTTTTTTTACCCGAAAGTCTGAGTTGTGACGTCGGAGTTAGAAGCAATAAATAATTAAAAGGCCCCGTAAATGAGTTGAAAATAACAACTTGTAGAATTGAAGAGGCGATGAATAGATTGTTAGTGAAACTACTTCCTTATTTTTAACGCCGCCACTTTCTACAAACACTCGGTATTTTCTTGTCAGATGCTTTTTTGAAATGCTCCGTGTTCAATGACACATTTTTTTTCCCGCGCGCGCCAAACACACTTCAGATTAAACCTGAAGGCTCGTGAAACAACTTGACAATATTTCGGAATATGTGAGACAAAATATTAACTATGGCAACGAAGAAATTATAACATATAGAAATAAAGTCCATCGCAAAAGCTTCGTTGATAATTATTGCGCCGTAAGTGGAGAATGGTACGCATAATATTAAAAAAAAAAATAGAAAAGAAGGAAGGAAAGAGTGAAATAAAGAAAAAGGAAAAAAGCAAGGTACACAAAAAGGAAAAAAAGAAAGTTGGTCAAACGAAACAAAGGTGGTAAAAAAAGGATAAAACGTTGGTAAAAAAAAAAAAAAAATGAAGAAAAATTGAAGGGAAAAAAAGACAGAAAGAAAGTAGTTCCAAAAAAGGAAACCAAAAGAAAGAAAGAAAGAAAGAAAGAAAGAAAGAAAGAAAGGTACACACAAAAAAAAACAATGTTAAACCAATAAATGAAGACAGAAAGAATGGAAGAATGATAGAAAGACAAAATGGCGTTCAAAATAAGTAAAAGTTGATCAAAAGAAAGAAAGAAAGAAAGAAAGAAAAGAAAGGCACTCAAAAGAAAAGAAAAAGAAAGGCCGCTAGAGAAAAAAAGAAAGAAAAATAACGTTTGATTGGAAAAGAAAGAAAGAAAGAAAAAAAGAAAAAGAAGGAAGAAAGAAAGAAAGAAAGACAAAAGAAAGGAAAAAGAATGTCGCTAAAGAAAGAAAGGAAGAAAAATATCGTTTGAGTGGAAAATAAATAAAGAAAGAAAGAAAGAAAGACATAAAGAAAGAAAGAAAGAAAGAAAGAAAATAAGAAAGAAAGAAAGAAAGAAAGAAAGAAAGGTGCCCAAAAATGAACAAAAAAAGTTGGTTAAAATAAATAAAGAAAGAATAGAAGAAAGCAAAAACATGTAAGAAAGAAAGAAAGAAAGAAAGAAAGAAAGAAAGAAAGAAAGAAAGAAAGAAAGAAAAAAGAAAGAAAGAAAGAAAGGAAGAAATAAAGAAATAAAGAAAGAACGTCGCTCAACAAAAGGAAAAAGAAAGTTGGTCAAAAGATATGAAGAAAGAAAGTATGAATGGGTCAAAGAAAGAAAGAAAAAAGGAAAGAACAAAAGAAAAGAAGAAAGAAAGAAAGAAAGAATGAAAAGAATGCGTTAAAAAAAACAAAGAAAAATAGCGTTTGAAAGCAAATGAAAGAAAGAAAGAAATGTGCAGAAACAGAAAAACGAAACTTGGTGAAAAGAAAAAAAAACAAACAATGGAAGAAACAATATATGAACGGAGCTCAAAAAAAGGGGGAAAAAAGAAAGTGAGCCAAAAGAAATGACTAAAGAAAAATTGGGCAGCACTCAAAAGAAAGGAAAAAGAAAAGTCGTCAATGAAAGAAAGAAAGAAAGAAAGATAGTACTTGAATGAAAAAGAAAGATTCTCCAAAAAAAAAAGGAAAGTGGTTAAGGAAATAATAAAACACGTGCTTGAAAGAGAAATAAAAAGAAATGAAAAAGGAGTCTCTTAAATGATATTTACAATTACTTAAGAAATGAAGAAAGAAGATAAAAAATAAGCTTACTAAGAAAAGAAAGAAGAAAGAGAGAAAGAATGAGTGTTTCTTAAAAGATAGAAAGAAAGAAAGAAAGAAAGAAAGAATGAGTGTTGCTTAAACGAACGAAACAAAGAAAGAAAGAATAAGTGTTTCTTAAATGAACGAAACAAAGAAAAAAGAAAGAAAGAAATGAATGAAGGAAGAAATAAAAAAAAGAAAAAAAGAAAGGCACTTCAAAGTGATCTGTTCTCTTCGTCACTGATAATTGCAATATAGTTGTTTCCTTATAAAGAAACATTCATCATTCATTGACCAAGCAGAAAGTACTATTGCCCGTTATAAGCTATTTACTTGCTGCTCCATGCTGGCAGGACGTGACATAAGGTCAGTTTAATGTGGGGAGTAAGAGTGCGCGCACCTTAAAAAATAACCCAGAGCCCGCAAACGTCGATCGCTCTAGCATCGGTATTACTATTGATCTCGCCTCTTTAGTACAATGAGAGAAGTACTGCCACAGGCAGCCGTTTCAGTTGCTCTCTGTCCAGACATAGAAGCAATTGAGCAATAAGACGTAATCTATCCGCCCGAGGGCAGATACTCAACTGTGATCTCGGCCTCATGGCCAGGGAATGAAGAAGAGATTTACTTGAACACTGAGTCAGATTGTGACATAATGTCAGTTTTTAACGTGGGGACCCGAGTGTTTTCACTCGGGCCGCAGGTCCATGCTGGTCTCAGCTGATCATAGCTTGTCCAAGTTGGTCAGAGCTGGTCTAAGCTAGTCATAGCTGGTCTTGGCTTGTCATAGCTGGTCTTGGCTTGTCATAGCTTGTCCAAGCTGGTCTTAGCTGGTCTTGGCTTGTCATAGCTTTTCCAAGCTGGTCTTAGCTGGTCTTGGCTTGTCATAGCTCGTCAGAGACGGTCCAAGCTAGTCGTAGCCGTGATACCATCAGCACAGGGACGGAGCCCTTGGCCAGGTAAGTATGGCCAGGGAATGAAGAAAAGCGTAACTCGAATTGTACTAGCTTCTCTATCAATGTTATGGTAATTTCCTAAGCGCAGCTTACATGTGGAACAAAGCCGGAAGTATGTGGCACCCAGTGAGAATCGAAATCACAACTCAGCCGTGATTGTTCTAGAGAGACAAGCACGCTAAACATTATACCGCGTCGAGGCACCCGGCTGCTCTATCAGTAAATACAGAATGTTTTCTCATGAAGATACAACTAACATCTGAGATGAGTAGAACAGATACTACACTTTGATCCCTCAGAAATGGCCAGGGAGTGAAGAAAAGTATCAGTACTCGATTACCACTGGTTAGTCGGTCAATGGATGCTGAATGTTGTCTTATAAGGAAACGGCTAACATTATAATTATTCAAAACGTTTCTTTTTTGTTTTTGTTTTTTTCGAAAGCATGAAATTAATTGCATGTTTCAAAAATGGAAGTCGACATTGGCCAAGATGAATAGGAACGATGCAGGTTTCGGAAATATGATATCTGGAAGGCAAGAGAAAAGAAACAGATAGCATAAAAAAAAGTCATGAAGTCAAATAAGGGCTGTAAATTGTTACAAAGTACCGAGAGACATGAAATAGTGGAGAGCCAAGATCAACTACACTCTGAAAGACACAGGATATAAAAAATATATATATATATATATATATATATATATATCGGTTGGAGTTGTTGGTAACGAAAAACGTGTATACAATTAGCTGAATGCAAATTATGGTCATTAATACTTGTACTGCTGCTTTGTTATATTATTGTTACCTGGCTGCACTGGCCCTTTTAGAAATTAATAATAGAAAAATGCTATTTTAAATGATTATATAAATCGCTGATTATATATGATCAGTCCTTCTATATGACAGTGGATACGGGACAAACTCAGAGATGAAGAAGAGACTTGAGGCAATAGAAATGTTGTTCTACAGAAGGATGCTGAGAATACCATGGACTGAACATGTGAGAAATGAAGAAGTTCTAGAGACAATGGAAACAAAAAGGACACTTATACTTAATATCAAGAAGAAAAAAATTGATATTTCTAGGTTATATAATGAGAAAAGAGGGCTTGGAAAACTTGATACACACAAGAAAAGAGTACTGAAATCTTACCTGGTATCAGTTCTACTACATGACAGTGAATGCTGGGCAATCCCCTCACAAATAAGGAAGAGACTTGAAGCCCCAGAAATGTTGTTCTACAGAAGGATGGTGAGGATACCATAGACTCAACTTGTGAGCGAAGTGAAGTTTTTGATAAAAAAAAGAACACTTATACTTAACACCAGGAAGAAACAGTTGAAAGTTCTAGTTCATATGATGAGGAAAGAGGGCTTGGAAAATTTGATGCTCACAGGACAGATTGAAGGCAAGAGGGACAGAGTAAATGTATAGGGGTTTGGAGAGATAGCAAAACCACAAAATTTATTAAGAGCTACAAATGACAGGAAATTGTGGAGAGCTATGATCAACATCCTGAAGGGACATGACACATAGATGAAGAAGATTAAAGTTGTGTAAATAGATGGAATAAAATAGTTTAGGAGAGATAACAAAAAGAAAAAAATTATTAAGAGCTACAAAAGACAGGAAATAGTGGAGAGCTCTGGCTGCTAAGGTCTTGAAGAGGAGCTTATCCAGCATTCACTGCCATAAACGAGGACTGATACCACTTAGTATCTGTCTATATTTCTGAGATGAGGTATTATGTACACTATTTACATTATTCGGACTATTGTCCTCATCTTTGTCGCTATATTTATTACAACTTTTCGGCCTTTCAGTATCTGTCTATATTTCTGAGATGAGGTATTATGTACATTATTTACATTATTCGGACTATTGTCTTCATCTTTGTCGCTATATTTATTACAACTTTTCGGCCTTTCAGTATCTGTCTGTATTTCTGAGATGAGGTATTATGTACACTATTTACATTATTCGGACTATTGTCCTCATCTTTGTCGCCATATTTATTACAACTTTTCGGCCTTTCAGTATCTGTCTATATTTCTGAGATGAAGTATTATGTACACTATTTACATTATTCGGACTATTGTCCTCATCTTTGTCGCCATATTTATTACAACTTTTCGGCCTTTCAGTATCTGTTTATATTTCTGAGATGACGTATTATGTACACTATTTACATTATTCGGACTATTGTCCTCATCTTTGTCACCATATTTATTACAACGTTTCGGTATTTCAGTATTTATCTATATTTCTGAGATGAGGTATTATGTACACTATTTACATTATTCGGACTATTGTCCCCATCCTTGTCGCCATATTTATTATAACGTTCAATACCCAGTTAAGTCAGTGGAGAAATTGAAGAGGGGAATTAACAGGAGATAACTGATAACTGGCATCCATTAAACATGGCGCGTGGAACTAAAACAGTCTACCCCAGTGAGCGAAATAAAGGGTTCAGTTCGACATTCCAACCACCTGAAGAACGTCGGAGCGTAAATGACCGAAACCTTGTAAATAAATATGGCGACAAAGATGAGGACAATAGTCCGAATAATGTAAATAGTGATATCACTTCAAACGAAATCTTTTTCTTTCTTAATATTTTGCTTAGTTTTAGGAAAGCATAGTTCGCTATTCCAATGTACCTTCGGATTTCAGTGTTGCACCTTCCGTTCTCTTTTAAACTCTTTCCAGATATTTAAATTGTTGCACTTGTTTGAATTTAGTATCTCCAATTTGGAATTTATATGTTAGGCTGTCCATTTTTCTAGCAACCATACCTAGAACAAAATGGCGATGTTGCTGTATTAGTAGAAAGTTGTTTACCGTCAGATATAGAGGCTTAGTCTTAGCCAATAAGCAGCCGTCAATTTAATGATTGTTACCCTCTGCAAAGGGGCATAACTTTTGTTCTTCTTAGGCGTATTTACTTTAAATTTTAATTCGTTTAAATTCCAATATCAGTGTGCGTTCACAGTGAAGAACATTTTCAATTCTAACTTCCATTAAAATTTTATTCTGAAAACGGCACCGAATTGTGATTAGAAACAATTGAATACATACCGTCTTACAGCCTGTCAGAAAGTAGACATGTTTTTATTACGATACCATGGTGATATCCGAGTGAGACACGCTTCAATGCACCCCTGTCATCTTAAATCTTATGAATTATTAGAAATTGTCTGTAAAATTATTTATCAGATTTCCTCTCTTAAACACTTCAGGTTTCATACAAGGAAGCTTTGAATTCTTTCTTTCTCCAGGGGTGCGAGCAAAATTGCTATATGGCTACCCACTTACTAGCCTTAGCGTGGCACAATGAATGATTGCCTGTAATTAATAAATTGCCGACTCAAGAGTTTTCCTTAATCAGTTTCCTTGGGGGATAACGTTGGTTGGTCGGCTCATAAAATATATTAAAATGTATTACTATCATATGTGGCCTGATGACCCCGCTGTACGTCTCAAGGTCCTCGACAAAATCCAGAGACGAATTTGCAATGTGATAGGCCCTGATCTAGCATCTAGTCTACAGTCGCTATCTTCGAGACGGCGATGTCTAATATATAATATAGCGAAATTTAATTAAAATAAGGTTTGATATCATAAAAAGCAAGGGAAATTGAATACTGTTTCTATATATGCTCTGGTGACCCCGTTGTTCATATCGAGGTCCTTGACAAAATCCAGAGATGGATATGCAATGTGATAGGTCCTGATCTGGCATCTCGTCTGCAGTCGCTATCTCACAGACGTGCCGTGGCTTCGCTCTGTCTCTTCTACAAGTATTTTCACGGCAACTGTTTCGACAAGCTACTGGTTCCCAGACTGCATTAATTTAAGCGAGCTACCACGCTGGCATCTCGGTCCTACACTTTCACTATCGAAAAGATTAAATGCAACTGTCTCTTTTACTCATCTTCTCACGCACTTCCTTCAATATTCAAGTGTAATGTCAATCGACATCTTCTGATACCTTTCTCTTGGTCAAGGTCCTTCTCTTTATCCTTTCCTCAAATACTCCTCTTGTTCTCAATCCTCTGTAACCCCTTGCGTGCTAGTGGCATTCCCGCCTTGCGTGGGGTGTATTGCTTTAATAAATAAATAAATGTCTTGAAATTGCTACGGCATCTTTGACATTGGGTGTAGTTCAGTGGAACAAGTTTTCCCATTATAAGAAAACAAACATTATCACAAAAACAACTTACAGTGTGTCCCCTCAAAATAGACATCATTTTGTAGCCTAAAAAAACATAGCCAATTCTCGCTTAAATGATCTCAAATTTTAACAAAAATATGTAAAAACTATATTGACGAACTTACTTCAATGAGAATCTACCAGGAAGATGGATCGGGTGTGCCAGCGACAATGACAATGTATCGTTGAAATGACCACCACGTTCACCTGACTTGACACCTTGCGATTTTTCTCTATGGGGCTATGTGAAAAGACAGGTAATACCCCACTTTTTCTACAAGCCTAGTGGAACTTAAGCAGAAAATCACTGAGTCGCTGGAGAATGTTACGCAAGACATACTACAACGTGTTTGGCAGGAGCTGGACTACCAACTTGGCGTGTGTCACGTTACAGGTGGTGTGCATATTGAAAATTTGTCGGCTATAAAATCTACATCCCTTTTAATATCTTGTTCGAAATTTGATATATAAATCTTTTACTGTTCAGCATGAAGCCTATTTAATTTCGTTTGCCTGGGACAAGTACTTACTCAAATATTCACATTTTAAATCATGTCACTTTTGGTGTGGGCACCCTTTATATTATGAGATCATCCGAAGCTTTTTTGAAGATGCATATGTAGGACGTTAGCAGATAATGTAAGTTTCAATAAAACGTATTTACTTTGAATCATTTCAGCAAGGTAATAAAGCCACTAATACGCAAGGGGTTACTGAGTGTGAGATAATATGAGATAAAGTAAAACATTATAGCCTAGTAACAAAATTAAAACAAGGTTCAAATGAGATGTATCAGTCATTATTTTCTAGGGAAATGTGGACACTTTACACAGATGCGTCAATGTATCAGGTTCTGCGATTGCTGAAATCTTTTTTGCAGTTAGTAGCCTGTTCTTCATGTTTTCCATTAGTACATTAACTTTTTCTCAGTTTGCAATCAGCACAGTGTTATCCGCGTATATGATGTTAAAATTATGTTTAAGTTGTAAAAATATTTCAGCAATCGCAGAACCTGATACATTGACGCATCTGTGTAAAGTGTCCACATTTCCCTAGCAAATAATGAGTGGTACATCTCAATTAGACCGTGTTTTAATTTTGTTATTTACTAAGCTCTAATGTTTTGTTTATTCTTAATAATTTCATCACAAGCAAGATAATACAGCTACTAAGACACAAGGTGGGGCTAACGAGAGTGAGAGAATACGAAAAAATATTATTAAAGACAGTGCACGATATTAGAAAATGAATTAAGAAGAATGAAGATAACGATTTACAATGCAATTAAAAATCAAGAAGACAAAAGAGTGTCTCAAAAACGTGAAGGATGAGAAAAGAAATTGT